AACCTAATTAGCTAACCCCTTACTTAGTTAGTTTACAACCTAATTAGCTAACTACCAAATTAGCCAACTATCTAGTCAGTTACCAAACTAATCAGCCTACTACCTAGTTGGCTAACTACCTTATTAGCTAGCTAGTTGAACAACTATCTAGTTAGTTACCTAGCTAGCTAGCTTTAGTTAGAAGTCATGCTAAAAGCTGCATTAAGGTTGAACTGAGCAGCGCAGCAGCAGGTTATTGATGCGATGAATAAAGCAGCGTTGGTTTGAAGCCGTAGCTTCAGGCTGCTGGCGGTTTAAATAGCTGCCAGAGTTTTTCATGCTAAAATTAGAGCGTTAAAATCAGGTGCATCATGAAGCGCAGTTAAAGCCACGCTGGCTTTTCTTCTCTGGATCCAGAAAGTGAAAGAATGTCTCTTTATCTGTTTCTGAAACTGTCGAGCAGAACAGGAAGCTGACACTCACAGGAGTCAGCAGAGAGCGCTTCGCTGCTTCCCTCATGTGTGAGAGAGATTGATGGACCTTCTCCATGACCCCCCACCCTCGGAGGCCTCCGTCTAACACTCAGCTGCCATCACCCATCCTCCACCGCCGTCTCCCTGCAGGACTTTGCCCAAACTTGTTAACTTGTTCTTATGAAACCAGCAGCAGGCAGATTCTGCTGTTTTACTCTGACAGATAACAGCCCTCATCTCATCTCCTGCCTCCATCGCTTTAACTCTATAAAACCTGCTTTTAAACCCCCACCCCCCGCCCTTCCTCTATCTTGCATCATCTTGTCTCCCCCCCCCCTCGGCTCAGTTACACATTGACTGCCATGTTTGCGGTGGAGCAAAGTGGAGTTTAGAACCGCAGTGATAAAGTGTTGAGATAGCATCAACGGTGTGTTAGCTCCACTGTATGGCATACCACAGCCAGGGAGGGGGAGGGAGGCACCGCAGCCAATCAGAGAGCTTCTCTCAGAGGGCAGAAAGCAGCCAATCAGGTGGAAGTTTTCTTCTGCTTCCAGACATCTTTTCTCTCTGTGGACCAACAGGTCCTCTACAGAGACGCCGCCTGAGAAGCAGTTTGATCGCTTTAATTTAATTAAAAACAATCAGAACTGATTTAAAGGTACGGAAGAGGATTAGGGCCACTGGAAAAAAAAAAAAAGTTTAATTTTATTTCAGTTTAACACGGGAAAAAAAAGTCAGAATTCTGAGTTTTTTCTC